CCAATCAAAACCACCAAGAGAACAGATGCCAAATAGTTGAAGGGAAAGGTTAAGTTGTCTGCAATTCAATTTATTCATTGTCATATACATTTGCAGGGCTTTAGTATTATAGACCAGATACCTTTAAGTACTTCCATAGTTTCTGCGCATTTATCGATTAAAAATCCCAACTGCTTTAGGAACAAATCATTTGCATACATCAGGAAAACATGATCGGGACGACAGAAACCTAAATTCAGTTCACTCGATTGCCTAGATAAATTCAAAAATAAATAAATATTCACAATTAATTGAGCGTGAACGCAAGTCGTCAACACTAACTTTATATATTCCTTCTTCGCTTGTTTCTCTCTTTGTTCGCTGGAAGTAAAAAAGTTTACAATCGATCTGTACCAACTGGGCTCCGACGGTTCCTGTTGCTCATGACGTGCAAGCATTTCCAATAAACGTTCAGCTTCCAGTTTCTACAGATTTATGTAAGTTTTGATATTTAAAGTAAAGTTTGACTGCTTACTACTACATACACGATTACACTCCAAATATGTATGGAAATATCCAAAACAAATTACAGCACCAATAATCATGGAAATAATGCCGATATTATATTTTCGATGACAGTACCATCCAATCATTACCAAACCAGCTGCTCCCAGTAGAAATTGAACCTGTAAACCAGCGTACATACAATTACATATACATTTGTACATATAGTATTGGCCATATCTATAGCACTCCATTCCAAAGTGATATTGTTTGCCACATATGCTGAATTATTAATTTTTAAGAATATTCAATTAAAATACATTTCATTCTCTAACAAAACCAATATAAACTCAAGTTTTAAACTTTGTAAAATACTACAACAAAAGGACGTAACCGCAGCATTTACCAGTGTAGAAAAAAAAGCTAAAGAGGTTTGTCTAGCGGTGAACGAGGGCAAGACAAAGTACCTCCTGGAAACATATAAAAAGTCAACGCGTTTCGGGACACACGCCACTGTTGGCAGCTATAACTTTGAAGTAGTGAAGGACTTTGTCTACCTAGGTCCAGCATAAACACCACCAACAACGTCAGCCTGGAAATCAAGCGAAGAATAACTCTTGCCTACTGGTATTACTTTGGGCTCGGTAGGCAATTGAAAAGCAGAGCCCTCTCGACGAACAAAACTTACGCTCTACAAATCTCTCATCATGCCAGTCCTTTTATATGGCGCAGAAATTTAGACGATATCGAAAAAAGATAAGAAGGCTTTGGGGGCTTTCGAGAGAACTATTCTACGCAAGATCTACAGCCCGGTTTTTGTGGATGACGGCGCAAATTCGCGCAGGAGGGAAGCAATTGGAGAAGTTTTTTGGTCTCGGCCCAAACCGACAAACGGTTGTAGTGACAAATAAGAAGAAGAGACTACAAAAAATTCAACAAATTTTCACCTAAGTTTCAAACTTTTTTCTCAGAATTATTAGAATTTTTTGATTTGGTATGTAGTTTTATAGCCCGTGCAATTTTAGTCTGATAATGAGCAAGTTTAAAGTGGCTAAAAATCACCGTTGATTTTTTTAGAATTTCTTGTCGCATTTGCTTCAATATAACGAATATGGAAGAAACCAGAAACACCTTCGGCGAAAACTTTCTAAAAAATCAACGGTAATTTTTAGCCACTTAAAACCTACACACTATTGGACTAAAATTCTCAAAATAATTCTAACTTTTCTGAGAAAAAAGTTTGAACATTGGGTGAAAATTTGTTGTATTTTT